GAAGAGGGCAAACCGATGGAGTGCACAAAGTGGGAGCACGTTGACAAAGAAGACTTCTCCACCGGCTTGTTCCGCGTTGATGATTCTTGTCAGGGCGCTGTTGTAAACGATGGAAACCATCAGCCTGACAGCGATGACACAACAGGTAACAACGTTTCTGGTGGTTGAACGGTCGCTGGTTCGCATGTCTTGCTGGCGAACAACTCGCTGAACCAGACTCGCCCACGTATTGAGCGCTGTGGTATGCTCATGCTGTAGCTTCGAGCGACACCAACGGTGCAAATGCACCCGCTCGCAGGTTAGCTCAAAAGGGTTATATTTTTGAAAGGTTCGCGTTCATCAAAATAACGTGCCCACGCTGGTGGCAAAACCGAGGTTGTGGTTTGCACACCTCGACGCCATCGGCCTGGTATGCGCCTGAAACCGCACATGTAGACGGGCATCCGTTTCTACTCAGCTGTAGGTTGGCGATAAAATAGCCATGCTGTTCACCAGGTTGGCGCCGACGCAAACGACGGGCACGCACGTGGTGCAGGTGCGAAAAGGCGTACTTTCACGGCTTCGGCTTCGCCTCAGCGTGCCCTTGGCCTTTCAATGCTCGGTTTGACGTCTGGTGGTTCGCACGGCTAAATGCCTGAAACATCTTCAAAATATAACAACTCGCTGAACCCGACTCGCCTACATCTCCAGCGCTGTGGTACGCTCATGAAGATACCTTCGGATAACACCCGGTGCAGACCAGGGGCTCGTGGGTTAGCTCAAAAGGGTTGCCATGTGGCTGCACAGCAGCCGGTGCGCGCTCCATACGCTTGCGATTCAGCACATGAGATAAAAGCCCAGATCGCCAACCAAACAGCGTTTCTATGATGCATGCGCCCAAGAAAGGCTCGAGCAGTCATCTCCTATTTGTCCAGCCAACATTGGCAATAGCAACATCTTATTAAAAATTTGTTTTTACTTTGCTTAGGAATTTAACCTCATGAATCAAATGAAAAGGCGATTTGCTATAGCTTTAACAATAGCGCTAATGGCCAGCTGCTCATCATCAGAAAATAAAAATAACGACTCGAGCGATCATGAAGAGGATATGTCATACCCCAAAGATTCTGGGGAGAATGATATGTTACGTTCCGAAAACCTCGATTGTCATTCACAAGATAGCGAGACATGCACCTTGGCTGAAAATTGTGGAAGAGTCACTGCCTTTCGAGTTGTCTATTCACAAACAGATGACTCTTGCATGAAGGGAGCTCTCTATAGAGCTTACTGTTCAACAGATGAAGTTCCTTCCATGCCCATCAGGTATTTTAAAAAAACGTCGAATGGCGAACCTGCCCAGGTGATTTGGCTTAACAATTCCTACGATGCACCCCCAAACGATGGAGAGTGGATACCATGTCCAGGTTCGATGAGTGAGACGACACCGGAAGAATGTTATTGTAATTTGTGAAAGGCACGTGCACATGCAAATACACTCACAGTCTGCTTTCAGAGTCCGTTTCTATCCAACTCCAGCTGGATAGAAACGCATCGCTCAGGCGTCGAGCAAGTGTTGGGCGTGCCTGTAAGAAACGTCGTGCAACCCGCATCGCATCTGGATTTCGCAGGTGTGGTGCCGAAATCAGTCGCCGGTGATGCGCATCAGCCACATTGGCAACAACTCGCTGAACCCGACTCGCCTACATCTCCAGCGTTGTGCTACACTATTGCAGATACCTTCGGATAACGCCCGGTGCAGACCATGGGCTCGTGGGTTAGCTCAAAAGGGTTGGCCTGCATGAAAGTAAGGACACGGATGTTAGAACTAAGTATCAACGATACTGTCCAGCAGTTTCATGACATAGGTGAGATAGAAGACTACGTTTCTAACCTGCTCAATCAAACAGGTGGAGAAGTGTGACTGTTTCATCCTTCAGGTTCACGTCTATGCGTCCTCTTTAATCAAGCAAGGGCATTTGTAATGTGGATGTCTGAGGAAGGAGCTTCGAGTTTCAGCTCACGCGATCTAAATTGCCCAAATGGCGAAGAGCGTTTTCTTCTGAGCAACGGTCAATACGACACTTATCCCTCTTCGTGGACTGTAAACCGACAACAGGCTCGAGACGCGCTTGTTTACCAGGCAAAACACGGACAGCGTTGCTCTTCCGTGACGTGGCACGACGATTCTCTTGGCTGAACAAGAGACACGCACGGCTCTCACTAGAAAGAGCACCTACAGCTTCCACCCCGAGCTTAACCGCATAAAACCGAGGGCGTAAGGCAGTGAACTGTGAGGTTCATATTAAAATGAGTCTCAGTGACTGCTCTTCTACAGGCCACACCCATGATACATGGCCTTGAGTTTGGTTTGCCCCTATGGATGCGAAAGGCAACACTCTTCAACTCACGCCATGCTTGCTGTTTTGAAGTAGCTAAATTCCTTGCGCACTGCCATTTTCAGCGATGCAGGCCAACAACTCGCTGAACCATGTAGGCGTGAGATGATGTAAGATGGAGGAACCAGGCCCGCAAAAAAGCCTGGCGAGGAGCTCGAACTGAACCAGGGTCGACAAAGACCGAGAGTCTGCAGGAGCCATCGCCAGGCGCGGGCTTGGGCGCGCCCAGAGTCCGAAGGGTTGCCTATCCTCGAAAGGATGTCTACATGGCTGGACCACGGCGCGCTTGGCCACTCACAAGACTAGCGCCTACGGTTCCACATGTCACCCCGACCTCAGTTTGCCGGCATCGACGTCTCCAAGGACTCCCTCCACGTCCACATCGCACAGCACCTCATGGACAACGACGGGCCCTTCCGCGTCTTCTCCTTCGATCACAAGGGCTTATCCCTCTTGAAAGCATGGCTTCTGGAGCACCACGTCCAGCACACCGTCTTCGAGGCCAGCGGCGGCTACGAGAACACCCTCCGCGCCTTCCTCCTCGAGCACCACCTCCCCTGCACTCGCCTCCAGCCCGAGCGCGCTCGCGCTTTCGCGGTTGGCATCGGCGCCATCGAGAAGACCGACAAGCTCGACGCCAAAGTCCTGGCGCGCATGGCCTGCGTTCGCACCCAGCACAAGGAGGTCTTGCGCTCGGAGACTCAGCGCGAGCTGGTGACCTTGATGGACTTTCGCCTCCAACTTCGCGAGGACCTCACGCGCCTCAAAACGCAACGCCAGAAACAAACCAATGCCTGGATCAAGGAGACGCAGGACGAGCGCATTCGAGACCTCGAAGTCAGGCGAGATGCGCTCGACAAGCGCATTCAGACGCTGGTGGATGGAGACCAAGAGATGAGCGCGCTGTGCGAGCTGATGTGCCAGCTCAAGGGCGTCTCGTGTGTGACCGCATGGAGTCTGCTGGCGTATCTGCCCGAGCTCGGTGAGCTGAACAAGCGCGAGATCGCCAAGCTCGTGGGCGTGGCGCCGATGGCCAAAGAGAGCGGTGACTTTACAGGAAAGCGGAGATGCTCTCGAGGGAGAGGGAAGGTCAAGGCGTGCTTGTGGATGGCCTCGCTGAGCGTGGCGACGCATGAAGAGCCATTCAAGCAGTTCTATCAGCGGCTCAAAGAGAAGGGGAAACCGCCCGCGGTGGCTCGTGTGGCGGTGTGTCGCAAGCTACTGACGGCGCTCAACGCCATCGCTCGCGATGGGGAGGCCTATAAACCCGAGCTGCTCATGCCCAGGCCTGGGTCGCTCGAAAAGGTCTCCTGAACAGCCCCTCTATCGACTTTCTGGGGCTGGACTGGAGTCCTTTTCCCTCAGGGCACTCATTCCTTGAAACAGGGTTGCAGACTCGCCCTCTTCTTCGCGTCTTGCTACAATCATTCAGAGTGCCTTTGTTGCGTGCTCCCAAGTTGGTGCATGGGCTCGCAGGTTAGCTCAAAAAGGTTGTGTCGACGAAAGAACGCCAAGCTGAACGGATGACAAGGACGTTCGAAATGGTTACTCTGTCGAGGACATGATCCCCTCATCATGGAGAGGATCTGATCAACCCATGAGAGTCAGAAGGAGGACACCATGGCAGTTTCACTCGATAAGCCCTTGCCCGAAGGCTTTGAGACATGGTCAGCCCAAGAGAAGGTCGAGTACATCGAGCGCCTGTGGGGGGTCGTTTTAAAAGAACACTCCCTTGATGAGTTGCCTGTACCTACCTGGCAGCTCGACGCAGCCCAGCAGGCTTGGCAAAACCACCAGCAAGCCCCCGAGTCTTCTCGTTCTGGTAAAGACTCGATTCAAGCTTTACGCGCTCGACTTCAAACAGCATCACAGGGGTGAATTGTGGCGATTGTGGTCTCTGCGGATGCGCAGTTTGACGAAGCCCAAGCGTTCGAATTTGAGTTGGAGCGTGGGATAGCAAGAGCCACTGAGTTTGTGGATTCTCTCGAGGCTCTTTATCAACGCCTTGATTCCTACCCTGAATCCGCTCCGGTCCTCGAACATCATATCCGTCGAGTTGTCCTCCAAAGGCTTGGATACAATGTCTTTTATCGTATTGATGGTGCAGACGTTGTCATCTTGCGCATCATTCATGGACGAATGGACCCCACTCATTGGCCTATCTGAACACAGTTGATTCTTGCCTCTCCGACCTTTTCACCCTCGGTCGACACAACAACTCGCTGAACCCGACTCGCCTACACCTCCAGCGTCGTGCTACACTATTGTAGATACCTTCGGATAACACCCGGTGCAGACCAGGGGCTCGTGGGTTAGCTCAAAAGGGTTGTGTAGATTGAAACGATGAAGAGTGCAAAAGAGTTGAAAACGCCACCAGCCGATATCTTGGGTGCAGCTCTCCATGTTCTCCATGTGTGCGGCTACACGACGAGAAACTGGACGCTTGAAGAAGATGTCTCACGTGAGCAAATCAACGACTTGTGGGAAGCCATACATACAATCCCAGATTTGCTCGGACGATGGCGATCAGGTGCTGAAGAGGAGTTGTTGATGTACTTCGGAGGTTACAATGAGAAGTGGGAATCGCCCAACCTCCTTGTCATCTACAAGCAAGAGAAGGATATGCTCCTCACAACCTCCTCTTAGGTCACGGCGATGGACCACACCCGCTCTTTACAGCTATGGACCGAGCTCCTCGAGAAGAACCCTGCATCGAGCGCAAACCGAGGAGAGCTTGCCCATCTGGTGACAGACCTGTGGGTGGCCTTTTACTTAACCAGGGATGGTGTGGTTGTGGAGGAAGACATCGTCGAGCAACCAGGCGTGTTTCAACAAGTACCTCTTCGCAGTACTTCAAGTGCGCTCGTGCTGGCCGCGAAAGAACATAACATGCCACAACTCCTCGAGTTGCTCCCTCAACCTCACGGTGATGCTCTCGAATGCCCTTCCTGTCGTGGCTCGCGCTTTGTCACTCACGAAGGTGATTCCCAACTGTGCTTCATTTGTGGAGGTGCTGGGTGGACCACCCAAGCCAACCTCGATGACTGCATCGCTCAGGGTTACACGCAGGACTTCTGGCATTTGCATCCCTTACACGTCCTGCCTTCTTCTTCCTGATTGCCCACCCGCAGCAATCTACACAACAACTCGCTGAACCAGACTCGCCCACGTCTTCTGACCTGTGGTATGCTCAACTAGTCGCTTTCTGCGATAGCCTGCTGCTAGGATTCGGGCTCGCAGGTTAGCTCAAAAGGGTTCTACTGCCCCCTATTTCACCCAGAAAATGATAAACGACGAAAAGATAATTGAAGGTGTGATCTCTGAGCATGGTGTTTTCTTCAGTAGGTCTCGTCCAACGGACCAATGGCACATGCTCTTGAGATTAGTTATGTGGAAGGTGGACAACAGTTATGTTGAGTCATCAATGTTTAAAATCAATCACTATTTTAACGAGACAGATTGGGTTAGTGAATTTATTGATATTTTTAAACCTGGTGCCCCTGTAAAACTATCAGTAGGTACCATTCGTCAGGTTGGCGATTTAGACAGATACGGATTTTGTATAGGCAGCTTCAATGAATATATTGATGTTTCAACTGATACGCACTTATTGAGTTGCTCGGAACGTATGGATAAGCCATATTTTCACTATGATAAAATTTTTGGCAAATTACGTTTAGATCGATCTATTGGCTTTTCATTTGAGACAAGCCTGTTCTGGAATGATGTCTCGATTCATTTCTCCTTTGGGGAATTTGACGGAAAGATCGACCCCGATTGTCTAGCCACTGGACATCATCTCGCGCGCCATGCCAAAGAGTGGGAAGAAAAGTGGCGCTCGTTTGCCTTGGAAAATATCTATAACCCGACAGACGATTGGTATGATGAAGATGTTGATTGGACCCCAGAAGCTTTTATCAACGAGCTCGGGTATCCGACTATCTCATGCGATGACGGTGATTCATTCCTTTTCTATTTCGATGGTGGACTGCTCTTCGGTGACCACTGCATTACAGTCAGTGGAAATATCAAGGAGGGTTTTAAGCGCTGGAACATCGCTGGTTAGCCGATATTGACCTTAGCAGTAGAACAACTCGCTGAACCCGACTCGCCCAAGTCTCTATCGTTGTGCTACACTCATGTAGCGCCTTCGATGCAAGCCCGTTGCAGACCATGGGCTCGTGGGTTAGCTCAAAAAGGTTGGACTGCAGATCTTCTCCAATGAGAAAGAAGTGAATGATGAAGAACACATTCATGCATTGATGCAGACCGCCAATTACCTTGAAGCAGCTCGGTTCATACAAAGCCATCCAAGAACCTGCGAAGAACTCCACCACATTCATGCTGGGGTTTCAGACAAACTGGATGACTTTGAGTTTTCCGTGTGGACGCTTGCTCAAATGATTGCATGGCTCATTGAGGTCTCACGCACTCATCATGCGAACATGCTCATTGGCTCTCCATTGGCTAACCACGAGATGACGCACTACAAAGTCAACGAGTGCTTCTCCTCCCAATACGCGTTTCTTCTAAACCATCGTGCATGAAAGTGAATCAAGGGTCCTCGAAGAGCGAAGCGCTGTCGAGGCCATGGTCGCGAATATGAGCGAGAAAGCGCTCGACCTGGCCACAAAGGGCGTCGATGTCCGGGTGACGATGGCACCGTGTGATCGCATCGTGGAGGACGCCCCACACCGGCTCGATCTCGTTGTATTCAGGTGAGTAGCCTGGCAAGAAATGCAGCACTATCTTTCCTCCCAGCGCCTCGAGCGCTTCGTTGGTCTTCTTTGAGGAGTGGATGCCGTAGTTGTCCACCACGAGGTGAATCGTTCCCCAACCTCTGTAACGGCTCGCTATCTCTTCGCACAGCTCGATAAACAGCTCGCTTGCCTTGCGCTTTCCTCGCACCCAAACCAGGTGACCGGTCACCTGGTTGTAAGCTCCCGCGAGGTACCGCTTCGTGTTCGCCCCTGGCGTCTCCATGGTCGGACGATGACCTGCCCTGGCCAGGACAGGACCGCGTTTGGGGTTGAGGTGAATGTCCACCTCGTCTGCGAAGAGAACGATGTCTCCTTGAGGCAGGCCAACGAACTTTTCGAAGAGCCGGAATGCCTGTTCTCGATGATCCCAGGGCTGGCGAGCGATGCTCATCCTGGGCACGACCCGACGAATTCCAAGGGAAGCAAGCACGCTGCTGATGTGAGCGGGGTGATACGTGGAGGAGAACTCGCGAGCAAGCTGGTGAGAGAGCAGCTCGCCCGACCAGCGAGAGCGCCCCCAGCCAAGCTGCTGAGGGTGCATCTCGATAAGTTGAGAGAGGCGCGTGCGTATGGCGTGGAACCGAGGATGGTGGGTTCCATTGAAACGCCTGCCGTCGGCAAGCGCCCAAAGTCCCACGTCACGAAAGCGCGCGAGCAGGCGTGAAATCGTAGCTCGTGAGCAAGCGCAAGCAGCAGCGGCCATGGTTTGTGTGAGGCCAGCGAGCAACGCCAGCAGAATTCTTGAGCGCCGACGCTCACAAGCGTAACGGGAGCGCGCCAGAATCCAGGTGAGCAGCTTTCGGTGCGGGCGAAGTTTGTGTAGGTTAATGGCAAGAGCCCCGTGCGTAGGTGAGGTTGGAGTTGTTACCCCGAACCTAACGCACGTGGGCTCGTTTTGCGATCCTCACACCTTGTTTCACTTTCACGCACAACGGTTTAGGGTGGTTTCTCCTTGGGCCAGAGCATAGACAGTAAACCCTTCGGCAAAACCGACCGTGTCATCCGAAGAGGTCCACTGCACATCTTCTGGTGACAACGGCAGAGGGTTGTCTTCTTGATCGAAGAGCAACAACGCGACGCTGACCTCCTGTTGCGAACGCAAGACCATCGAGGATGGCTCGATACTCAAACTGTCTGGTTCAGACACTCCCGGCGAGATGACCACCTGCTGTGTGTCACAGGCTTCGTCGAGACACGCCGTGATGTTTGCCTCGCCAGGAGCCACGGCAGTGATTTCGAGAGCTTCTCGCTCCAGGAGCTCGCTCGGTTCAATATGCCAGGACAGGTCTCGCGCTTCGATAGCTCGCGCTTGCCCATCCTCGGTGTACTCGACCTGCATGCTTTGTGCGCCACCGACAACCATGGCGGGCGTATCCAGCGTCAGCGTCAGAGCTCTTTCGATTCTCATATCGAGATCAAGGTCAGGCACCTCCGAGTTCGCATCCATCCCCCCCATATCCATGTCGAGCATTGGAGTTGGATTCGTTTGGGTGTCCTTCCCGCACGCCAACAGAAACGAACCGAATACCAGCACACCAAATTTTTTTGCTCAAG